ATAGCTTTTAAAAATAAGAAGGCTATAGAAGACTTGTATTGTTAGTCTTTATTTTAAATTACTGTTATTATTCTTCTTTGACTGAGGCGGTAAAAAGTAACCACTGACTCACTGAACAACAGTCCAACAAGTCATGCAAACTACAGTGTTGACAGCCCTTGTTTGTAGTCCTCAATGGATTGTGTCTAAACCACGGTGCAATTATGGATCCTTTGTGATTTCACATTTTCATCTTATACGCAATTTTTCTTTCTTTGATATGGCATGTTCTATTCAGTAGCTTATCTGAATATATCAATATCATTCTGAGAAGGATAAAATCAAATTGTAATAGCCTGTGTTCACATAATGTATGCATACCCAAGGGGAAGGATGGTAAGTAGATACACTTTCTCACTGTATTTCCATGTTTTGGACATTGGAAACATGATCCTACTTCCATATTTTCTCCCAAGTAGTATGGGTGGATTTATTTCTCATTTATTTATAAACCAACAGCTGATAAAGAGAAGACTGGACTGACATTAATGTACATCTATATGACAAAAGAGATTGTAAATGAAGTGGAGAAGACTCTTCAAATCCAGGGCTTACAATTACAGGAAATAGTGCCGTAAACATAAAAAGAAACGTTATATTAACTTTATGAATTGTATTTTAAAATGTTAATGTAAGCAAAAAGGTTTTATTTATATACTTATATACTTAAGTATATATAAATAAATATTTATATTTATATAATATTTATAAATATATTTATGTTATATAATATTTATGTTATATACTTATATATAAATAAATATATATACACACATATTAAAAATCAGTGTTTCTGTTGAATAACTTTCAGCAACAGTTCTCAACTTTGGCTGTACATTGAAATCAGAATCTCTGTTGCTGAAATCCACACATCAATTCTTTTTTTTCCAAGCTCATGTGATGATTCCAATGTACAGCCAAGATTGAGTCACAAATACATTATTACAGAATTAAAAGGAAATAAACTTTTACTTTAAGTATTATAGATTTAGAATATCATAATATAAGTATGAAATATTGCTATGATAATATTTACGATTTTATTAGAATACCAGATTTCAGGAACTTCATTGTACTAGAAAGAATCAAATACTGCTTTCAAATTGATGGAAATTGCTATTGTAGTCTGCCACTTTTACTCATAAAGTTAATTACTTATATATTGTGCTGCCACAATAATGTCAATTTTACCAATTTCATTTAGATATTTACATAAGAGAAAATTAATGTCTTCCTAAGACAGATTGCTAAAACAATATTTGGTCTGTACATACATAATTTTGTGAAAGTTGATTTTCTATGCTTAATTTTAATGACAAAATCCTTGAGGAAAGTTATTTCTCTATTTGATTAAAGTTATACATTTGAACCTAAAATTAAGGCATATTTTTGAGTAATTTAATTTTTTTCTAATTTTCAGATACCAGTAATATTTACAATGTTTCATATAGCATATATAATAGGGAAAAACATTACTGTTAACTGAGATTATTATTTAATAAATTACTTTATTATTATCATTTTATTACTTTATTATGCCGAGCATTGAACTAGCTATGTGATTTGAACTTTGTATTTGGTGAAATCAATATTTGAATTAGCCAGCTTTGAAGGTCCTTTTCAATTCCAGCATTTGGCGATTCTGAGCTTTACTTTTTAGACCAAGTAATGTCTACGACACATTTAAGATTATCTACTTTATTCTTACTATGTAAAATATATAGAAGTCGAAGTGGACAGTATTGAAATTATTCTTGTAATATTACAAAGAAAACATTGTTTGCCATCTGTCAGGGAGAAGAGAATGTTAGAAAAGTCCAATCTATTTAAGTACCTCCACCTCCGTGAGATAGATTTCTTTTGTTTGTTTATTTATAATTATGTCTGGAAAATCAGAGAGTTACAAATTCTTCCAGCTTAGAAAATAAAAGTATTTTTTTAAAAACTTAAACATGCCCTGGCTGGTGTGGCTCAGTGGATTGAGTGCCAACCTGAGAATCAAAGGGTCACCAGTTCAATTACCAGTCAGAGCACAGGCCTTGGCTGCAGGCCAGGCTCCCAGTAGGGACACTCAGGAGGCAACCACACATTGACGTTTCCCTCCCTCTCTTTCTCCCTCCCTTCCCCTCTCTAAAAATAAATAAATAGAATCTTTTAAATATAAATAAATAAAACAAATCCTAAACAACACTTTAAGTACTTTTTCTTGACTAAACCAAACATTTATTGTATTTACCTGTTGTAAGAAATTCACTTTTTATATTTTACATGTCTGAAGTCAGGGTAAGTTTTATAGTTAATGGTTAGTTACACTCATTGTCAACCAGCTGGCAGTTGTTACGTAGGCAATATTTTTTAAGTGTGTATGAATGTGGTCATGGCTATTTATATAGCCATGCTTCAACTAAGTTACGTGTGCTGATTATACTACATGTATAGAATTTGTGAACCAACATTTCCTCTAAGAGATTACAATAAGATTGTAAGATTTTTTTTAATGGTACCTACAATCATATTTCATCTTACCATAGGTGAAACAAACAGCTTTGATGAAATACAGGCAATAATACAAGTTCAGTGTATCACAAAGCTATCAGAAACAATAAATATCCTAACTTGCTGATGCATATATTATTGCACTTGAGGTAACTAGATAAACTGACATAGAAAATGATTGATTTTATAGCTTGAGATTTTTCTATAACTGATTTTATTATTATGCAAAGTTTTCTTTGCTAAATAACTTTTCACATAGGAAAAGAAGGAAGAATTAATAAAAAATATTAGCCACATTTTACTTTTATGCTACATTCAATAGTGACAGAGCGTAGATATTTTCTAAGCAAACATAATAGCTGCATTAATAGTAAATTGGGTCAATATAACTTTGTCACATATTATAAATACAAAATTAACATTTGTGAGTAGATTTTTTAAACTACAAAAGTAGTGCATGATAGAAATAATTTAAGAAGGTAGATCTAAGTGTCTGCTTTTATTTTGATATTTTAAATGATTTATCTAAATGAATACCTCATTCATATATTTTTTTGCTGGCATTTAGTATAACACAGAAATCTGATTTAAAATTCATCACTTTATTCCAAATAATACTGGGTAGCTTTTATATACTGTAATCCTTGGGTAAAACTAGTTGTTGACTGTTAGACTGCTTTCAGCCTGTTTTTCCACTTTTACTTCTTTATTGGTAATGATGATGATGATGATTATCCTTGCCACATATTTTTCTTAACATGCTGAAAGTGATGAGGAGTTTTGATGAGGCTGAAGAATTGAGAGTTGAGAAAAATCATGGAGAGAAGTTTCCTGACTTACCAGGCTGGTTTTCTAAGTTCATATAGTGCTGAGCTGTGTAGAGTTATAGGTCAAATGATGATGAAGCACATAGAAACCACTTGAATATTGCCAGCAGAATCGGAAGAGATGACTATGAATCAAAATACCTTTCCTTCCTACATTTTTCTTTTCCTATATACACAGTATATATCGCAGATTCTTATTAAATGTTTTTCAAATAAATATATGCTGAAGAAAAGTTGTAGTTCAGGTATATGTACATTCTTACTTGATTATATTGCAAAAAACTTCACTAAGCAGGTAAAATTTATACTACTTTAAAAGATGATTAAAATCTCAATAGGCACATAATCAGTATTGGTTTTATTATATGTCTTTATCTTCTCACATGTTATTGGATTTTCTCATTCACCCATGAATGAGACTAATTATAACAATGCTTGTTTTGTGTCATGTGTTGGGTCATTCATAAGTGGCAAGGAATATTGGGTTCATTTTGTTTTATGGAATAATTTTAATTCTCTAGTTCGTTAGAATATTTTACATGAAAAAAGCAACCTAACATGAATAAACTTTAATTCTAGCTATGGATACCCAGTGACCTTTTTTTTTAATATTTTATAATCATGATGATTTAAAATTACATGACAAAAATGTCTGAATATTGAAAAGTCAACAGGGCTAAGGACCACCTGCATGTTAAACTTCAGATGAGTACCAGAACAGTATGCATATTATTTATCCAAAGGTACATTTTTGGATTTATTGCTTGAAAAGTAAAATCTGGGCTGCTTTGGATTTATGAGCAAAGTTAAATTTTTTTCTCAGGAAATCAAGTTCTAATAGTAATGACAATTATGGTTTATCCCCTTAAAAATCAGTGTGATCCAAGGACCAGTGCCATTTGAGTTACCTGGGTGTCTTTTTAGCAGTGCAGTCTCAGACTATAACCCAGACCCGTGGAATCAGAATCTGCATTTTAAAAAATCCCTAGGTAATACATATGTCCATTAAAGTTTGAGGAATGCTGGATGGCCTACCTATTCCCTTTCCTGATCTGCAGTTTGATTATATAGAACTAATTGAGACTCTGCAACACACATCCTGGCTCTTAAACTTTTCCTTCAAAGTAGACATGGTTTATAGCATTCTCAAAGAGAATGAAAAGCATGCATGGCTAGATTTTAGAATAGAAAATAAAAATCTTTATTTTACAGGTTTCAAAATTCTGTGGATGCATGTCTTTTTATGTTGATTTTTTTTGAGTTATATAATAATTCTTTTCTAAAAAAAATTAAAATTATATCCATTAAATGAATTATTCTATTCCTGTTGTACCTGGTGTTCTATTGGCAGCCTCAGAATGTTATTTTAGCTTTCTTAGGCTTATGGAAATCATTCTGCTTGTTTCTCTGAAGGAGTTAAAATAAATATTAGTAATTATACATATTTAATTTTTAAATGCCAACTGATTACTCACAGCATTTATAAAAAAGAAAGTTATGGAAGATATGCATAAAATGTTTCCTTAATAAGGACCTTTCATGTCTAAAATGGTGCTATAATGGGTATTTTTTATTACAGTGATCAGAATGAAAAATGAATTATTTATTAACATATCCTTCATCTTTTCCCTTTCCCAGATGCAAGACAAAGGTCTACCCTGATGAACTTCCAAACACAAGTGTAGTCATTGTGTTTCATAATGAAGCTTGGAGCACTCTCCTTCGAACTGTTTACAGTGTTATTAATCGTTCCCCACACTATTTACTTTCTGAGGTCATCTTGGTAGATGATGCCAGTGAAAGAGGTATAAATATTTTTCTCATAGATTTTCTTAAATTAGAAAACTTTGTTATGGTCAAAAGGACAGCTGGGAAATGATCTGTGTTTTCCTCATAATTATACTGACCCTGAAACCACCCATCATCATCAGTGCATTTTCATCAATGTATCCAGGCAATGCCAACTCTAGGAACAAGTAACTAATTATTACAGTTTCTCTCATGATTCCATTTGGTTCTTACTAACCCAGGAAATCAGCCAAAATGACTCTCAAAACTGTGCCTTTTTTTCCCCAACTCAACTGCTTATATGATTGAGATTTATATGACTTTGTGGATGCTTGTCTTTTTTTTTTTTTTTCTTTTAGTTCAGGTAAATGCAAAATAACTATAGTTAAGGAGCCTGAATTTGCCAGTGTGGTCCTTTCTCAGCCACATTCTGGTATATTAGCTTCCTATTTTATCCTTATCCTTGTCAGTCAAGTGGCACATAATAATGAACTCTACATGAGTATACTGATGAAATCTCTGTACCTTTATGTCACCTGATGCAAAAACTGTTACAAAAGTTTGCCACGATTTCTGTGTGTTGAATTTTTATCTGGCCAATAGTATCTCTGCTGTGTCTTAAAACAGTTTCAAAACTTTCTTATAAATTCTTGTTGCACATTACAGATTTTCTCAAGTTGACGTTAGAAAATTATGTGAAAAATTTAGACGTGCCAGTAAAAATTATTAGAATGGAAGAGCGGTCCGGGTTAATACGTGCCCGCCTTCGAGGAGCAGCTGCTTCGAAAGGGCAGGTCATAACCTTTCTTGATGCGCACTGCGAATGTACTCTAGGATGGCTGGAGCCCTTGCTGGCCAGAATAAAAGAAGACAGGTAAGGACTCATGTTATGTCTGCCTGGGTTATGGCTGAGTCTGTCAGGACAGTTTAGGCTTTTCATCAAAAATTTTCTTCTAGGTTGCTATTTTCAGAAGGTTTATTTCCTGGCTTTTAAGAAAGCCATACCCTAGCCCTAGATGGTGGCTAAGTTGGTTGGAGCATTGTCCCTTACACCACAAGGTTGTGGGTTTGATTCCCTGGTGGAGGTACATACAGGAGGCAACCAACTGGTGCTTCTCCCTCCCGTCAAGGTTTATCTTTCTCTCTCCCCTTTCCTCTTTCTCTAGAATCAACAGAAATATATCCTTGGGTGAGGATTAGAAATAAAAATAAAATAAGCCATCCCCACCCTCCTCACTTAATAAAGACTTTGGCTTATTTGTACTGCACGTGAATATTTGATTAAGAAATAGTCAAACAATTCAAACAGTAAACATGTATCGAATATTCATTTTATTAGGTACAGGAAATCAGTCTAATTTGAAAGAGAAAATTTTATATATTTTCAAAGCACCTTATTGTATCCCCACAACCACTCTGTGAGGTAGGTAATGTAGATATTCTTAACTGTACCTGATATTAAGGAGGAACATATAAATTAAGTAGCTTGTCCCAGTTATCGAAAGTAATGGGAACAATTCAGTTCTTCCCATTCCAAGACCAGTCATCTTTCTACTAGGTCAGTGTCCTTATCCAAAGTCTAGTTCAAAACCGCCATGCCAGGATCTTAACAATAAACACATACAATCTCACATTCCACTCATGAACATGGAGAGCACAGCTATTAAAAATGTTTAATTATTTAAACAATATTGCCACTTTGTACATAAAAATGGTGAACTGAAAGATTAAGTAATACGTTATAGAAATTAAGAACTTTCATGGATAACCGCAATTCTCTCTGATAATTGAGGCTATGAAGTATCAGCTTTTTTTGAACATACCCATAAACATTGGTGATAAATGAGTGTAATTCCCAAGCACTTAAGGAAGACACTATGTTGGATATTGTCTGATATAAAAACATAGCATTGCTTAACACCTTGCTTGCAAAGTCATTTCACCTACAGTAGAAAGGTCTTTGTAGAATTTAATTAAACACCCAAGACAGGGCTACGCAGTGTGAGCTAGTCTAGCTATATCACGTAAATGGCAAGATTTGGTACTTGCCAGAAAGATGGATGGAGGTTGTCAAAACTGAACCACAGCAGTTGAATAAAGCAGTAGGAACCTTTTAGTCAACTCAGTGTACTACACAGCTAATAACATTTTTCCACTCTGTGTATTGTACAGAACCCACAGGAGGGTAAGACTGGCAAGATAAAATGAACTTGAAACATCTTAAATGCATTCCCTGGCAACATTTCATACATTATGCTGCTTTTTAAAACATGTGTTTCATATTCAACTTAGTGAGTATTTAATATAATATTAGTTTAATATGCCATGCATAGATCATTTAGTTTTTAATCTAACAACATATCTAAATTGTATTTGTACGTAATGAACTCTAATATCTTGTCCTACTTGTAAGTTCTGAAGTTGCCGTAACTATATTATAAAGTCCTGTTCAATGTTATTAGATCTAATTTCACTCCCTACAAATTAAATTATTAAATTTAATGAAGAAAGAGAGAAAGATATTGATTTTGTAGGAACCAGAGTTACCAAGAAGCTTTTCCAAGGGTAGATGAATTCTATTGATTTCAGAGAACTCTAAGCTTTAATTAATTGTGTGGAATATAAAACCCAGTTGAAGTAAGTGTTGGTGATACTGGTGTTAAAAACCAAAATAAGTGATGGATAGTGTTTCTTTACTTTCCACATCTATGAGTGATTCAACAGCATATTTGTATATTTACCTTGTACCAAAAATGAAAAATAAGCTCTGCTCTTCAGAATTGGCTGCAACTAGGGCAAACATGCGTAGACCTACACATTTACTGTGGAGAGGACACATGGTCGATCCTATAATAAAACGTATAAGCCAGGAGTAGGAGAAGGCTTGAGAAGGCATACCTTGGATTAAAGGAGTACCTAATGATTTCCCATGGTGAAAAATTTCTTACCCTAAATAGCCACCATCAATAAGCCCAAATCTCCTGGCTGTTCCTCTTTCTTTAAGAAAAGATGTGTCAGGGGATAAACACCAGAAACTGAGGTTGATTATTTTTCTCTGTCTTAAAATATGTACATTGTTACAGTAAATATCTTAAGTCTAGGACAGTTCACTCAGAAATTGCCATGACTCCAATATGTTTTATAGGAAACATTTACTTATACTGATACCACTACTTTTGTTATTTCTCTTTGTTAATTTTTGTTTGATTGTTTTTCATAATAGATATTTTCTCCACAAAGATTTTCTTAGAACTATCTCTTTAAACTAACCTAACACCTCTGAGACTCAAACTACAAGATCTAATTTGCAATCATTCATTCTCCTGTGGCCTATTCCTTTTCAATAAATGAAATTGTTAAAATGATGCATAATGTCAAAGCATCTCTACTAATCATGCTTTGGGGGAGGTTTTAGAAAAAATAGACCATGTTCATCTTGCTGAGTTAATACTTAGAATGCATTTGAAAATCAGCTTGAAGATCAGTTATTATATTTGATTAGATTATACATGGAAGTATAAAGTTGACTTTGGTAAAAGGAAATTGTTCCAGAGGTAAAAAAGATAAAATAAAAATAAAAGCATATTAATGCCACAAAATAATTAAATTTCAACCTATCAGCTATATTTAGTTTGAAGAAATAAATTAAAATTATTATTTGTCTGTAAACTGGTTTTACTATTTCTACAGGAAAACAGTTGTATGCCCTATCATTGATGTGATTAGTGATGATACCTTTGAATATATGGCTGGGTCAGACATGACTTATGGGGGTTTTAACTGGAAACTCAATTTTCGCTGGTATCCTGTTCCCCAAAGAGAAATGGATAGGAGGAAAGGAGACAGAACATTACCTGTCAGGTATGTAGCTCCTGTCTTCCAGAGGATAGCATGTATATTCTTATAATAGTTAAGAAGTATTGTAAATTTGTGTTCTCATTTTTAAGTCTTTAAAAGTCATAAACTTTTTATTCATATACATGTATGTATTATTATCCTTTACATGATAATCTATGAATCAATGACTCTATTAAATGTAGTTTAAATTAGCACAGGCAAATTTAACTATTGGCAGAAGTGCCAAGTTTCCTTTGAAACTTTGTGTAATCTTATATTCAAAATATATTTTGTGTAAGTTTTCTACATGACAGATATGTGTTGTGTGCTAGCCTTGCCAAGTCAGGTGGATTTACACGTATATCTTACCTAAATGTGTATGCTTTAGAGTAGAGGTGTACTCAAAATTGAAATAACCAAAAATGTTCTGGTAAATATTCTGCAATTACCAGCCTTAAAGAACTATCTTCTTGACGGATACAAAAGAAAGATCCATTTAGAAATTTTAATATATTGACAATTATGAAGGAATTTTTATTCCAAATTATTGAAAATACCCATTTAATTTGAAATCTTTATTCATAAAATGTTTGCCCATAATACAAAATGAGAAATATCATCTGCATCTTTAGTTGTCTAGATAAGCATTACTTACTTTATTAACATAAAATTATCACCTTCCTATTTTAACATATTGCGTACCTCTTACCTGCAACCAAAAATTGATTTCCTGAATAATACCTTGAGGAGAAAGGTCATTAGTTTAGCTCTTTAAACATTAATTTGACAAATCATTATTTAGCTGTAATAATAGAGAAATACTGTAACATTCTAAAACAATACATATGGCTCAATATCTAAACAAGAATGCTCTCTAAACTAATGAAGGAATGACTTATCCATTGGCAAGATTGGTTATATAATGAATTAAATAAAACTAACTTTAAAAATTTGCCAGTAGAAGAGAACAGCTCTAATTGTTAGTTATTGAATTAAATATTGGGGCTGTTAACCCCCTAAAGAAGGTATTATGACATCAAAGAGAAAGATAAAATGTGGCTACAAACAATTGAATAAAGAAGTAAAATTACATTCCCATGATTTATTTATTTTATACCTGGAAGTTTGTATCTCTCTTAATCCCCTTCACTTTATTTCGTCCTGCATAGGGAATATAGTCAGTATTATTATAATACTAGCTTGATATGGTGACAGATGGTTACTAGACTTATAGTAATCATTTCATATTGCATATAAATGTTGATCCACTATGCTGTACACCTGAAACTAATATAATATTGTATGCTAACTCTACTTTAATAAAAAATTACAGGCAAAAAAAGAGGTAAGATTATGATATTACTTAAAGTGTGATTTAGTAATCCTGAAATCTTGCTGTAATCTTCACATCCTCCAAGCCTTACTGTTCCTTGCCTTTAACAGCTTGAGGAAATATAGCAGCTCATGTTACCATTGTTTATTAGAAATGCTATTTTCCCACAGCATCGTAGCGTTTAATGTTAGCTGGTTTTTCAAATTCAGATCCCAAGAGAAAATTATCAAAATACTTGAACTCAAATATAGATAATGTATTTATTCATTTGAAAATGAGTCTTAAAGAATGTGTTTTATACTTAATTTTTAAACATTGGCAAAAGTCATGCTTTATTTTACAATTTTTCAGGTTTTAATTTTATTTTCTGAGCTTTAATATTTATTTTAATTTTATTAAAAAAATTTTCCAATTACAGATTACATTCAATATTATTTTGTATTAGTTTCAGATGTACAGCCTCTTGGTTAGACAATCATATACTTTACAGTGTTCCAGCTGATATTTCCTGTACCCAACTGACCCCATACATAATTATTACAATGTTATTGACTATATTTCCTATGCTGTATTTTACATCCCAATGATAATTTTGTAATAAACAATCTGTACTTCTGAATCCCTTCTCATTTCTCAGCCAGACCCCCAAACCCCACTCCCCTCTGCCAGCCATTAGTCTGTTTTCTATATCTGTGAGTCTCTCTCTGTTTTGTTTATTTATTTTGCTCTTTAGATTTCATATGTAAGTGAAATCATATGGTATTTGTCTTTTCCTGACTGCCTTCACTTAGCATAGCATTCTCAAGGTCCATCCGTGTTATCCTAAATGTTAGTATTTCATCTTTTCTTACGGTTAAGTAGTATTCCACAGTGTATACATACCATACCTTCTTTATCCAGTTATCTATCAAAGTACACATTGGTTGTTTCCGTATCTTAGCCACCAAGAATAATGTTGCAATGAATATAGGGGTGCATACATCTTTGCAAATAAATGTTTTCAAATTTTTCAGGTAGAGGGATTACTCAGTCAAATGGTAACTATTAATTTTTTGAGAAACTGCCATACTGCTTTCCATAGTGGCTGTACCAGTTTATGTTCTGACATGCAGTGAATGAGAGTTCCTTTTTCTACACAGCCTTTCCAAAACTTGTTACTGCCTGCCTTGTTCAATTCTAACATGTGTGAGGTGGTATTTCATTGTAGTTTTGATTTGCATCTCCTTGTAACTAGTGAAGTTAAGCATCTTTTCATGTATCTTTTGGCCATTTGAATGTCTTCTTGAGACAAGTGTCATCTAATTTTTAAATTGGACTGTTTGGTATTGAATTGTATGAGTTGTTGATGCACTTTGGTTTTTAACCTCTTGTTGGAGCTGTTTGCCCATATCATCTCCCTTTTGGGTGGTTTTCTTTTTGTTTTGTTTGTCGTTTCTTTTGCTGTGAAGAAGTTTTTAGTTTGATATAGTCCCATTATTTTATTATTTGCTTTTATCCCCTTGCATTTGGGGTCATGTTCTTAAAATATTTTCTAAAATCAAGGTCCATATGTTTAGCACCTATGGTTTCTTCTATGTAATTTATTGTTTCAGATCTTTAGGTCTTTGATCCATTTCAAATTTGTGTGTGTGTATGCATGGGGAAAACGACTTGTTTCATTATTTATCATTTGACTTTCCAATTTTCACAGGACCATTTATTGAAGAGGATTTTTTTCCCTTCCTTTGTATATTTTTGGTTTATTTGTCAGAAATTATTTGACCTTATACATGTGGTTTTATTTCTGGACCCTCAATTCTGTTCTGGGGTCTCTGTGTTTGTTTTTTCTGGCAATACCGTGCTGTTTGAACTATTGTAGCTCTGTAGTATAATTTGAAATAAGGTAATGTGATATCTTCAGCTATTTTCTTTTTTCTCAGGATTGCTTTGGCTATTCTGGGTGTTTTGTGATTCCATACAAATCACTTGGGTTTTTTGTTCCATTTCTTTAAAAATGGCATTGAGATTTTGATGAGGATTGCAGAAATCTGTATATTGCTTTGAGTAATGTGGATATTTTAACTATATTGATTCTTCCAATCCATAAACATGGAATGTCTTTCCATTTCAATCTGTCTATATCAATCTCTCAATTTTTCTGTATATGAGTCCTTCGTATTCTTTGTTAAGTTTATTCCTGGGAATTTTATTCTTTTAGTTGCCATTGTAAAAAGAAATAATTTTTCATTTCTGAAAATTTATTGTTAGTGTATAGGAATGCAGTGGATTTTTTACATTAATTTTAAATTCTGCAGATTGATTCTACTTGTTTATTGTTTCTAATAATTTTTTGGTGGACTGCTTAGGGTTTTCTATATAGTGATCATGTCATTTGCAAAAAGTCACACTTATACTTCATTCCCAACTTGGATGCCTTTTATTTCTTTATCTTGACCAATTGCTCTGGCTAGGAAGTCTGGAACTATGTGGAATATGCATGGTGAGAGTGGATATCCTTGTCTTGTTCCTGATTTTATAGGAAAGACTTTCAGTTTTTCTCTGTTGAGTATGATATTGGCTGAGGGTTTATCATATATGGGCTTTGTTATATTGAGATACTTTTCTTCTATACCCATTTTATTGAGTGTCATAATCATAAATGGATGTTGTATCTTATCAGATGCTTTTTTCTGCATCTATTGATAAGATTATATGATTTTTATCCTTTGTATTGTTAGTATGGTATATTACATTGATCAATTTGCATTTGTTGAACCATCCTTATGCCCCAGCAATTAACCCTACTTGATCATGATGTATTTTTAATATATTGTTATATTCAATTTGCTAGCTTTTTTTTTAAGGACTTTTTTATCTACATTCATCAGAGATACTGGTCTGTAGTTTGTGTGTATGTGTGTGTTATTCTTGCCAGATTTTGGTAGCAGAGGTATGTTTCCTTCAAAAAATGTGCTAAAAAGTATTTACCTCCTCTTCAATTTTTTAGAAGAGTTTGCAAAGGATACATGTCAAATCTTCTTTGAATTTTAGGTAGAATTGACTATTGAAGCTGTTTGGTCCTGGACTTTTATTTTTTGGAAAGTTTTTGATGGTTGTTTCAGTTTCCTCGCTGTTGATTGGTCTATTTAGGTTTTCCATTTCTTCATAATTCAGTCTATGAGGGTTATATATTTCTAGGAAGTTACCCATTTTTTCTGTTACTGAATTGATGCTATATAGTCTTCCATAGTATTCTACTATGACGATTTGTATCTCTGTGAAGTCTATGGTAACTTCTCTTTTGTTTCTGATTTTGTTTGTTTTCTTTTTTCCTTAGCGTAAGTCTAGCCAGGATTGTTTTTTTTTTTTTAATTTTATTAATCTTTTCAAAGGAGCAGCTCTTTGATGTAGTACATTTTTGTATATAGTCTTTTCTCCATTTCATTCAGTTCTGCTCTAATTTGTATTATTTTCTTTTTTCTGCTGACTTTGGGATTTTTCTTTTTCTTTTTTATATAGACCTGTACTGTTATAAACTTCCTTCTTATTACTGTTTTCACTGCATCCCAAAGTTTTAATAAATCATTTTGTCATTCTCATTTGCCTCTATATATCTTTTGATCTCAACTTTTATTTTTTTTCATTGACCCAGTCATTTGTTAGTAGTATGTTACTTAATCTCTATGTGCTTGTGAGTTTTTTTTTCTTTCTT